CCGCCCCGTCCCCGGGCCGCCGGTTTGTTCCGCGGAGCCGCTCGGGGGGGCTGGCCCCGCTCCGCGGCCCCGGGGGCTTCCGCGGCTGGTCCTGCGGGGGGCGCCCGGCCATGGAAAGGGCTTTCTCCTGGCGAGCCCCTCTGACCTGTTCTCTTGTCTTGCAGTGAGCTGGTCCCCATGGCCGATCACATGATGATGTCCCTGAGCCACGGAGCAAACGGGCTCCAGAACTACCGCCTGGGCATGAACGGGCTGCAGGGGCCCCCGCAGCACGGGCAGCACGTGTTACGGACTCTACCTGCCACGGGGCAGATGATGCAGTATGGCGGGGCCGGCATGGACGGTGCCATGAGAGCACGACCCAGCATCAGCGGACCCATGGGCCACCACCAAATGCCCAGTGCTATGATGTTCAGCAGCCCCAGCCAGCAGCAGCAGTACATGGGATCTATGGGCACTCAGCAGCTCATGGCCAGCATGCACCTACAAAAACTCAACACCCAGTATCAAGGCCACCCTCTGATGGGCATGAGCAATGGTCCTATGGGAGCAGGTGCACAGCAGTATAGGGTGGGCCCCACCCAGCACCCTGGCATGCAGCATATGCCCTCGCCAGCTCTGACTTTGAACATTATGGACACTGATCTCATAGATGAGGAGGTTTTGACATCTCTAGTCTTGGAGCTGGGTTTGGACCGGATTCAGGAGCTGCCTGAACTCTTCTTGGGACAAAACGAGTTTGACTTCATTTCAGACTTCGTCAGCAAACAACAGCCCAGTGCCATCAGCTGCTGAAGGGCTTTGCGTTCAGTCCTTGTTCTTTTGTTGGTTTTGATTTTTTTTTTTCTCCCCCCACTTTCTTTTCCCTTGCCCCCCACCCCCCACAGTTCCTCCTTTTGCCCCTGTCCCTCCCATGCTCCACCTCCCTAAACACTTGACAGACAATCATTGGACAATGACGGCTTGCACTAGATTGCTTGTATTTTTTTTTTCCTGTGTGGGGGCAGCCTTCTTTGCTTTTAAGGGTGGGGAGAAGAAGGGGAAAGTGTTTCTGATGGACTAAAATGCAGACTGAGCAGTCTTGTTTTCTTTTAGAGTCATCCCAAATGGCATTAACAGGATTTCTGTCTCCGGTAGAAACAATGGACTTGTGACTTTCCATAATTAAGCTTCCAATTGCAGGAGGGAGAGGCACAGCTAGCTGGGTTTGCCTGAGCACTCTGAATTGCCAGTGAAGTTGACATAATCATCTCTGTGCCTGAGCTGCTGCTGTCTCACCTTGCAGAGAAGGGGTAGGGCTTGGCTTTTGCTGTCAAACATTACAATTTTTTTTTTTTTTTTTTTTCCCTCCATAAAATCAAATCTCTTATTAGCCTTCGGAGATGAAGGGAAACAGGTTTTGAATGGTCTCTACTTCTAACTTGAAAAGGGATCATTATTTATGCCCTCCATTGGTTCTGACCATCTTAGCGGCATGCTCATCTGTAAAGCTAGTAGGTGGGTTGTTTTAGGCATAAAGTGGAGCTAGACTGCAGCTTTAAGTCTTGTGCCTCTGAAACCAAATGCAATCCATGTCCCTGTATAATCCCTGATGTAAACTTCTTTATTTATAATTTCTTCCCCCCCCCCTCCCCCCCCAATGATTATTTATTTGCAAGGGCTCCATTTGCCGTTTGACTTTGAGACTGTCAGGGGAATGACAAAAGGAGAGTACTGCAGCTTTAAGATGATCATGGCTGTTTGAAAACTAGTCTAGCAATTTTTAAAAAGCCTTACAGTTTCAACAGCAGAACTGTCATGAATGTGCATGACCATGTAAATGCAGCACCTGCCCTGATGCAATAAAGGGTGACTTGGTTTTTAATTACCTCTGTCAGAAAAGGTAAAATGTTAATGCTAGCTGGTTTTTATTTCCCCTTCTGTCTCTTGTTTCCAGGTCCTTTGCAAAGTGGAAAGCTAACTGGCAACTCCTAGTTGCTACTGCCCCCTGCTGCTGATAGCACATGGCAGCACATCACTGCTGATTGACTTAGTGATTTAATGTACAGTACAGACAACTTTTTTTTTTCCCAAATAAAAGCTAAAGCCGCATTGACCTTCATGTTCTGGTAGTGGTGTCTGTCTACCCAGCTGTGCTCAGGGCATCATTGGGCATTGGCAAATGGTTTCTTGCAAAGTTCTTCCCACCAGTGGACTTCTGATTCAGGCTGTGGCAAATCTGGCCTTGCTGTATTGGTATTTGAATGAAGGACATACTATTGAAGCCTTTAAACAGAGCACGGTTTAGATGAAGGGACTCCTACATCCCTACTAGCTACATTTTTAAGAGGGCAAATTCTTGTGTTTGACCCACTCCAAAATGTGGCTTATGGCCAATTCTAATGAGTACATGACATTGGCTATGAACTACTGGTGGATTGCTTCTCCTGTTTTGTGGACTAAGTCAACACTACAGACTCTTGTTGGTATGTTTAGGCTGGAGAGAGAGATCCCCTGACACCTCTGCTGGCAAAAACCCTTAGTGTGGATGCAGTTATACTATCAAAACTGTAGCTGTTGATATAGTTTGTTTGTTTTTCTGGTCTTGCAAGGGTGCTCTTACTATAGTGGGGACCAAGTTCATCTACACTAGAAGCTCCTTCCTGGTACAGTCTCTATTCTGTTGATAGAGCTTTTCTGATGCAGACATGGCCTCTGACTCCTGCAGTTGATGAATGGGCTATGGTGTGTTTTTCCTGAAGAGTTTGCTGCCCAGTGCTTCCCAGTGAAAACCAAAACACATTATCCATGTAAGCAACCTGCCCTACCCCAAAACAATACAATGAGAGCTCCAGGTGCTTGCACGTCATTCTGCAAACAGTCACTTCTACTCTACAAGATTCCTTCCCTCTGCCAATTCTTCTAAAGGTATTTACTACCTGCTATCAAGTGAAAGAGCATGCCACACTGTTACCTGGAATACTGTAGCAACTGGCAGTTGCTACCAGAATGCTCAGCAATGGGGGAGAAAAAATGTTTGGTCTTTCCAGGTTTAATTGAATGCTAATGAAAAAGACCCTTCTAAGTTTAAAAAAAAAACCAAAACAACCATACTTACTGCATGGTTAAGAGCTTAGCTATGGACAGGTGTTACATTGCAGTATGGGGGTATGGTGGCAGCACCACAAAAACTTGATGAGAAGAAGGGTGTACAGATGTTCTAGCGACCTGGCTGGAGCGCTACGTGGCCACCTCAAGGCTGAGCCCTCCAGGCAGGGGGTGATAGTGAGATGCACCTTAGCTCCCCATGGCCCTGAGGAAGCATGATCACTGACAGCTGGGAAAAGAGGCTATCAATAATCAGCTGGCATCTTCTGAAAAGTGGCCAAGGAGCTTTACCAGGAGCTTGAGAGAAGTGATTATTCCCCTCTATTTAGCACTGGTGAGGCCACATCTGGAGTACTATGTCCAGTTTTGGGCCCCTTACTACAGAAAGGATGTGGACAAATTAGAGTCCAGCTGAAAGCAACACATGATTAGGGGGCTGGGGCACATGACTTATGCAGAGAGGCTGAGGGAACTGGGCTTATTTAGTCTAGAAAAAAGAAAACTCGGGGGGATTTGATAGCAACTTTCACCTGCTTGATGGGTGGTTGCAAAGAGGATGGAGCTGGATTGTTCTCGGTGGCAGATGACAGAACAAGAAGAAATTGTCTCAAGTTGCAGCAAGGGAAGTTTAAGATTGATGTTAGGAAAAACTTTCACTAGGAGGGAGTAAAGCACTAGAACAGGTTATCTAGAGAGGTTGTGGACTTTCCATCCTTAGAGGCTTTTAGGACTTGGCTAGACAAAGCCTTGGCTGGGATGATCTAGTTGGGGATGTTCCTGCTTTGAGCAGCAGGCTGGACTAGATGACCTGAGGTCCCTTCCAAACTTAATTTTCTATGATTCAGTGACAGTCTCTCTTCCCTGCAGGAGTGGCTGGGGCAAGAATAACTGCTTTCCTTACCACTGCCACAGCCCCAGGCCCCCTTTCTCCCTCATTGGCAGAGCAGACAGCTGGGTTGGGTGGGTGGAAGTTAGGGTGAGGAAATTCCCACTTCATTTTGAACAGTCCTGGAGAGCCAAGACTGTGTAAGTGGCTACAGAAGAAGATTCCCTGCAGGGCTCCCTGACTGCTTGCTGCTGTAGGGTGTGGGGGGACGGGTGCTATCAGGGAACCAACCTACTCTCCCTTTTGCCTTCCCCCTGGGGACAGTGAGTGACAGGCTGTGAGATACTGGGGGAGTCCTGTCCTAGGGATCCCCTTGGCACTATGTGTATCTGAACATGGTACTAGGAAACAATGAGTTTTAAAGAGCTAACAGTAGCAGAATCACTTGTTTTCTTTCTGCTACAAACTACCTGTGTGTTGGTTCTTTTGTAATGGCTTAAAGGGTGATCTTCCCAACAGAGAATATGGATTGACATTACATCTTAGTTGCGGGATCCTATGCTACTTTAACAAAATAGTGATATCACTGTATTGCAGGAGTGTGCTTTGCATACAAAAGGTACTGTCTGCTTAGGTTTTTGCAAAACAATTGAAGTTACTGGAAAAGGATAAACTGATTGGTTATTCACCTCAATTCTAGTTTGCGGGAGTAAGTTTTTGACATCACCTTAATTCCAATTACTATGTCAGTTTTCTTGAAAATATAATTTTTCATCTAAATTTAGGGGAATGTATGACCTTTAACATCATCAGTGGCACTTCCCAAATACTTAATGTTTAAGAATTTTCTCAGATTCAAGAACTGACATGGACCATTATGATTATCCAGTCTGACCAACATAAGAGTTTCCTATGGTGGGAGAATGGAAGTTGAGCAAGAAAAGAACTTGAAGCCTTTGGCTTCAAAAACCAGCATGTGTTGAAGCTCAGTGGGTCAGGATTTGGGATAAACAAAATTTAAGAATATGTTGGTTTTCCTGCTAAAATAAAAAAAAAAAGTTTTGTCTGAACACAGTTATATTTGAAAGTATCCACTCCATGATTTACCACTGATTTCAGTTGCTGTATCTAGGGGTGGAAAGGAAATTTCTCCTTTGCTTACTGGAACTGTGGAGCACTTGTGATGCCAAGCCAATGGACCCCAGCTGGGCTAGATTCTACCTATCCATTCCCTCAATATCTCTCGGGATTCTTCTTATGGAAACTAAGCCATCAGCTTGGGAATCAGACAGGTGTAAAGAAGGCTTGGAAATGCTGTGCTGCCCCAGGTTCTCTCTCTCTCTCTCAGGATGTCAAGCATCTGGCCTGTGGAGCAATGTGATCCAGCCCATGGGTCTCAGACTAACCCCAGGCACCGCATGGCACATGTGAACCCTGGCCCTGTGCACTGCATGCAGCCCATGTCCCAGACTGATCCCCTGTGCTGTGTGCAGCACTGGATCCAGCCTTCACACTACATGCAACACAAGCCCCAGAGTGGGGCCAGCACATGCAGCAGGCCATGGGCAGGCTGGACCCAGTGCCACAGGTGCTATATGCAGGATGGGGAGCAGCCCAGCAACACTCATCTGCCCCTCAGGGTGGGATGAGCATGATGACCCTATCTTACATATTAAAATACAGAGTAGCTTCACTTCATGTGTGTGTTTGCCAGTACTAGCTCTGATTCTAATGCATTATTTTCTAATGCACAAAAGGAGCCTTGATATTTTGGCTCCTATGACAGTCAATTAGACTTATGTTTCAAGATGCCTGAATCACTCTGACAAATTTGAATTAGACTCCTAAATCACTTAAGTGCATTGGAAATTTTAACCTAGTCTCAAAAATGATTAAAATAAACTCAGCCCTACATTCTCAAGTCTACCACCTCAGGTGGCAACTCATCACCATCCTGGATAGCCAGGATGTGAATACAGTCCCCTACAAGGAAAACTGAAGTATGGCTCAGTGCAGTGGCTACTGTTGAGCCCTCTTAACTTGCTTTTTGCAGCGTCACAAAGTTAAGCGGGAAGGGCAACCACACAGTTTACTAGGGAGGGACAGGCTACAACTAGATCTGGACAGGTTACAGGGGTGGGCAGATGAGAATAGGATGGGATTCAATATTGACAAGTACAAGGTACTGCACCTAAGGAGGAGAAACCAGCAGCATACCTACAAGCTGGGGAACTCCCTTCTCATCAGCACAGAGGCAGAAAAGAATCTTGGAGTCACTGTTGATTCCAAGATGAACATGGGCCGGCAATGTGGGGACACAGTCAGGAAGGCTAACTGCACCTTGTCATGCATCCACAAATGCATCATGAGCAGGTTCAA